CCAAATTGGGCGTCCGACAGATCGGGGCCCACCTCGTAGAGGTGCCGGACGATGCGGGCAGAAAGAACCCTCTCAAACAATTTACCCGCCTCGTCCAGCAGCACGAGGGGCCTATAGGCCGCGACCGAATCGGCAGGCCGTCCCGGCTTCCTTAATAGGACCAGCTTCCCGCTCTTCCAGCACTCAGGGAAGCGTCCCGACGCCAAGCTAGCGTCGAACACCTCCCCGAGGCGGTCTGCCATGTGGTTGAGGGCCAGGGCCAGCACTCGGGCCGGTACCCCGTCTGGCCCAGGGGCGGTGTTCTTGGAACGGATCCGTAGAACAGCCGCCGCCTACCTCCGAATCCCGGACGGGATTATCCTCCCCGTGCTCCCCGTCGTCTCCGGCCAAGGAGGCCATCGCCGGGGGAGTGTGTTCCGCTCGTTGTGGGAAAAGGCCCTCAATCACTTCTCGCAGGAAGCTGGGCTGGAGAGTCTCCGTAAGGGGGGGGCCCGACGCGCGGAGCTTTTGTCGCACCGCGCGGTAAGGGCGACCCCAGGGGTCACGATTAAGACCCTCCAGCATCTCCTGTCTCTTTTCTTCTTTGGCGCGGCTAATGGCCAGCTTCAGAGTTTTCCGCGCCTGTCGGTACTCCTCATGAAGCCGGTCCTCCTCACCGTCTCCACGGTGACGCCGCCGACTGCGCGTGTAGGACCTCCGGGCACGTGTACAGGCCGCACGGAGGTCTGCCAGCTCCTGGGACCACCAGTAGACCTCCTTCCTTGGAGGCCGACGACCTCGAATGCGGGGCATGGCCGCATCGCAGATATGCGTAATCGCATCGCGAAAGCGACCAGCCCCCACGTCGACCTCCTCGGTCGGAGCCTGAGGAGACAGCCACGAGTGAATTATGGCTGCCTCCTCTAGTAGGTCCCGGTTCGGTCTGGCAACAGCCCACCGCGGAAAGCGGGATAAACGCCGCGCCACGTGACCCCTACTGGAGTCCTGGGTCCGGGAGAGCTCAAATCGGATATACAGATGATCCGAGAGCGTCTCAACCTCTTCCAGGACACGCCAGTTCCTTACTCGTGCGGCGAGGGCAGGGGTAGCGAACGAAAGGTCCACTATCGACCCCCCCTGCTGTCGCACGCACGTGTTGGTGGAGCCTCTGTTGAGAAGACAGAGGCCCGCCGAGGCCGCCCACTCCTCTACGGCCTCGCCCCTTGCGTCCGTCCTGGGGGAACCCCACGCAATGGACTTTGCGTTGAAGTCCCCCAGCACAAGGACGTGCCCAGACGCTAGTCGCCGTATCGAGGTCTCCAAGCTGGTTAGGAAAACCTCGAAGTCGTTCAAACTCCGGTTGGGGGAGAAATAAACACCATATATGGTGATCCCCCCCCCCCACTCGACGGCAACATATCCAGTGCCCTTGTCTCTTAGCGACAAGGGCGGGGAATGAGTCGTCGTGAAACCGACGACTGCCACGGAGCCGTCCCAGTCACCCATCCAGTTTGGACGGGGAGGGACAGAATAGGGCTCCGCGACTACGGCAACACCTATCGACCACTGTGCTATGGTTTGCAGGAAGAGATCCTGCGCCGCGGCACAGTGGTTCAGGTTCGTCTGGACCAGGAGGTTGGAGACTTGATCCATTACTGGATCGTCTCTACAACCTCCTTCATGGGCGACGACGTCGACGCAATATTGACGTCGGGGGTAGCCTGGGTCGACTGGCTAGCCCCTGACGTCTGCCGAGAACTGCGGGGAGGCTTGCAGCCTCTCTGCCCCATCTGGTGATTGGCGGGCTTATTGCCCGCTGCACACGCTGGGCAGTGAGGGGCGGCAGAGCATTCTGCCGCCTTATGCCCCGGTTGACCGCAGCGGAAACACAGTCCGCCGCAGTCAAAACAGCTGTCGCACTTGACGCGCGTGTGTCCCGATGCTAGGCATTTGTAGCACCTCATCGGTCTCGCCGCCAGGACTGTGATCCTGGCGCTCACGAAACCGATGAGCAGCCTGCCGGCAGCTACGGCAGCTACGGGACAGCTGACCCACACGGCGCCAAGCCCTCCTGGACCGGGGCGGATGGTGCCGACCCTGACGTTGTCCGCGCTGCACCCCGTCTTCTCCCGGATTACAGCGCGGACATCTTCGGCCGTCACTGAGTCGTCCAGGCCCGAGATGCGCAGTTCCGCGCACTTGATAGGCCTGGCGACCCTGACACCATCTGTGGCCGCAAATATTCCCCGCAGCCTCTCAGCAAAGGAGTCCGCCGTCTTTGCGCCTTCAGCCCCAGGGAACTCGAGGACTCGAGCTCCCGTCTGGGCGAGGCGCATCCTGACCCCCACCGTCCCAAACTCGTTGGCGAGGCTGTCCCGGGCCTTTTTGAAGACGGTCGCGTAGGATAGCCCGCCGTCAGCCGCCTCCGGGGACACGGTCACCACTACAGCCGCGGTTTTGGGCGGCTGCAGCTTCCGCGGCCTCTTTGTGGAGGCCGTTGCCACCGGTGGCGAAGGCTGGGCTTGGGCAGCCCTTTTGGCCCGCCTTCGGGACTTCTTGGAGCCCCTCGCCTCCTGCCAACCCTCGTTGGAGGGGGCAGGTGCGGAGGGGCCCGGCAGGGGTGTCGGAGTGGGGAGCGGAGGGAATGCCACTCCGCTCCTCGGCGCTGATTTAGGCCCCGTCTTGGCCGGCGCCTGGGGATGTGCCTTGGCCGGTGCCTTAGCCGGTGCCTTGGCCGGCGCCTGGGCCGGTGCCTTGGCCCCCCCGCCGCCGCCGCGTAAGAAACGCGACCTTCCACCACGGGGAGCGCGGTCGGAGCGGCGGCCTTAGGCCGCTGTACCGACGCGAGCGGGGGGCGCACAATCAGCGCAGGGGGCAGTCTCGCCTCCAGGCCAGCCAGGCGTCCATCCAGCATATTCCCAACTGCGATGAGGATTTCACGCAGTTGGGAGTCAAATGCCCCTGAGTTGGTGGTAGGGGCAGGCTGGGACGCGGACGGGGCTTCCCGCTCGGGGAGGGTCGCCTGGAAGCGGGCGAACTGAGCGCTCAGCTCGTTCACCCGCTCGGTCAGCCTCTCGTTGGCCACCTGTAGGCGCGAGACGTCGCCCACTAGGCCCTCCACGACCTCCAACAAAGCGGAGGAGGAGTCCTTGAGGGCCCTCACAAATGAGCCCTTAAGGTTCACGGACTTGGTGGCCACCTTGTGGATGACGGCCACCGCCGCTTTCGCCCTCTCCTGCACGGACACGGGAGCCTGGGGGGCATTTCCCCCCACCGGCTCCCGAACCTTGAGCAGGAGATCCGCGATCTCCTCCTCCCCTCGCCGTCCACTCGTACGTTTCTGTACGACTCCGCGTTTGAGAACGCGGAGCCTGACGGGGTCTAGACCGAGGCCGTTTTGCGTGCCCTCCCTCGGCGGCTGCTTGCCACCTTTGGTGGCATCATTTCCTGGGACGTATCCGTTTCCTCGTCCCTGGAGCGTCCGCGTTTGAGGCTGTCGCTTCGCTCCGCCTCCATGGCCTCCGCGCCATCCGACGAAACGGCGGATCCGGAACGCAGCCGATCTGATGCTCTTCGGCTCCCAGAGACCAGCGTCAGACTGACTTCTGGGAGCCCCATCGAGATAGGCGTTCCCGACGCCACCTCACCCTCAGTGGACGACCCATCCACTCCACTGTTCTTCTTCTCCTTCCTTGCCTTCGTTGCCGTATCCGTTTGACTAGCCTTTTTCCGTTGTTGGTTATTTCCGATCATTTTTTGTTTTGAGTTTTGGTTCATAATTTCCATAGTAAATCCCACGAGTGGGGGAGAACTAAAGGTCCACCCGGGCAGAGATCCCCCAGTACCCGGGCAAGCGTAAGTTTTTAACCCAACCGAGGGGTCCGCAGGTACCTCGGCTTGGAGTGCGCTCGAGACTGAACTTCCCATCAGCCATGCATCCCCTGGCCACGCACCAGAACACGGGATTCACGGAATTTTTTAGAGAGGTTATCTTCCTCGCGGTCCGGGCGGTTAAGCCAAGACCCTCGCCCCGATCAAAGCCGCGAGACTTAACCACAGCGCTCTTCTCGGGATTACGATATGCCGACGGTTGACAGGGAGACTACGTCCCCCTGCCTGCTCGGTGGTAGTGTCAGTACACGCCGAGCCCGTCCTCCTTTCTCCACCGCTGTCAGCGGAGAAACTGTGGCCCCTACAGGGCCCCGCCATCCGGTTTTTTACCGAGGTTTCCTCCTCCATGCTCCGAAGAGCGAAGAGCCAGCAGGGCAACCGGCAGACACGCCCACCCTGCTGGACCAGGCCTTGCCCGAGAGCCGATGAACGGCTACCTCTTCTGCTAGAATATTAGCCGCTGGCGATAATCCTCTCCTCCAAGAGGACAAGGAGGAAACAGTACCATCGCCAGCGTTTCCAGGGTGCACCACGGGGAGGTTTTCTAGCCTAGCACCCCAAACCCTATACCAACCCGTCTGGCCAGCGTGGTGTAGTAGGCCAAAACCTCCTTTCTAAGGAGAGGCTTATGTCCAGTAGTGGACTGTTAAAGGCTGTTGATGATGACAATTAAATTACAATTACAGCACCATTTTTGGCTGGTTATTTAAAAAAAAAAACAACTTAAAACTTGTAAAGAAAAATAGCTTCTATAAAACAAAAAAAAAATAACATAAGAAAACGTTAATATCTTAACTTACAATTAAATTACAATCACAGCACCATTTATGGCATGTTAATTAGAATAAAAACAAATGAAAACTTTGCAAGTTCAATGGAACATCTCACGCTGAGGAGCTGAACATACAGACAGACAGATACATAACAATTAGGTCAGCTTACTCTGTCTGATGAAATATGCCTTTAGAAAAACTAAAGCATTTATAGCTTTATCAGACAACCGGTTTCTTATTTTATTAACTATATTTCCTGAAATTGAAAACACTCTTTCATTTTCAGTTGAAGTAGGCTTAACTGAAAGCAATGCCTTGTACATCGATTCTAAATTTGGTGACCTCTTCCCAGTCTGTTCAAAAAGTATGAACTCTTTCTTTACTACAGATTTTGACAGTGCCACTTGCCGCCTCATTTGTTGAAATGCCTTTAATTGCTTTTTCTAATTCAATTTCAAAGCTTTCGGCTTCAGGTTCTGATGGGCTTACTTCTTCTACCACTCCCGACTCATTTTCGGTCAAAGTTGTGATGGCAGGGTATAAACGATTATATTCTCTTTCAGCGTATCCGATTAAAAATATCTTATTGTTATCAATGAAGTAGTTACTTTTATTGTGCATGAAATTGTCAGGGCTGTTCAAGTATTTTAGCAGCGATATTAGAGACGTATTACGGCGCTCTGATATTTTCAACTTAAGTGAATCTACTAATTTGAGGGCCAAAGGATCATTGATACTTTCTAATTTTTTTAGCAATACGTCTATTATAGCCTCTGCAGTCAATAAATTGGCATCTTGTCTACTCAACGCCTCTACTGCAAGTTTTGTTGGTGTTAATATCACCTGCAGTTTTTGTAGCATAGTAATATTATCTTCATTCCATTTTTGTGAGCCATCTAAATCTATCAATGCCTTTTTGATTGCATTTTTTAATTTCAAGAAACGTTCAATCATTGTCAGCATTGAATTCCATCTAGTTTTGACATCGAGTAACAAAACTAGTTCTACTCCGAATTCGGCTACTACATGTTTCTGCAGTGTTTTTAGAGGACTCTTTCTGAAAAATCTTATAATCGATCGGGTCTCAGTCATTACATTGTTTATGTCATCAATTATTTGCGATCTAGGTTCTTCATTAGATATATAAGATTCATCATCGTTATCAGTGCTGCTGGTTTCATAGGAGCTGCTGTGTTCATCGGAGCTGCTGTGTTCGTCATCGTTATGCAAGGCATTCCTAGCAGCTCTAACTTCTGACTGTTTTTTGCAAAATGTGTCAAGAATAGCTAAATGGATGGCATGATTTACACATAGAACCATTTCACAGGGACTTTCTCTGCCAAATTTTTTCATTATATTTGGCCCATCGCTTGTTACGGCAACAACATCACTCTCAAATTTCACTCCAAAATGTTTCAAGCGTTCCTCCACTATTTGTCTTACTTCAACGGCCCCACATTTACCGGGTATATAGACTAACCCCAAATTATAATGTGTTGTTTCTGTGGTATGACAAATAATACTAAAATAGCGTTTGTTACGTATGCTTGTCCACTCGTCAATACTCACACTTAGCCGGTTACCTGAAGAACAAATATCTGAAAGTTCTTTCATTATTTCTTTATCCTTATCCTCATAGTATTTTAGTATTAGATTCATAACATCATTAACACACATGGGCAGTTTATATCCTTTAGCAGAAAGTGAATCACGAATGAATTCACTTTTTGTGATTCCATTTATGGTAAAGCCGTCTATTGCAGCCAGCCTCGCCAATATTTCACCCAATGATTGTATCGGTGGAGTTTTGAAGTTTAGTTTCTGTTGCTGCTTACTATCATACCCAGGCCTGCTTTTTTTCGGTGCACTCACACCTGAACTTGTAGATGCTTCAGTTTTGGATTCTTCTTGGGTCCTGCATTTAGTAATATTGATTTTATGCACATGTGTTAAATGTCTCACCAACCCGCTAGTATTTGAACCTTTGCAAGCAATGGTTTTTGGGCACTTAAGGCATTGCGCATTTGCAGATTCCTTATTTTTTTTGAAATATTTCCATACTTTTGATGCTTCCATCTTAACTGTTATAGTGAGGTTTCGGAAAAATCTATAACAAACGCAATTCAAATTAACAATTAGCCCTTGGAGTAATATGTGATACACACACACACACACACAACACAACTGGTAATATTCGTCTCACAAATTTAAAATGACACATTAATTAATTTCAAATTACTTACATAAATAAAAATAAAAAAATAAAAATTCTTTATTTAAAACTAAAAACACAGATTACAATATTTCAAATGTGTTTGATAATGACTGCATTAGTGAAACACTGTGGCGCAGTCACTAACGCCCACCTTTGGATCTGATGCAAACGTTCCATTTTATTCTACCACATTACAACCCTAAAAACTAAGCATGTGAAGTTAAAACGTTGAGGATTTGAAAGTGTATGTGTGTTGTGTGTGTGTGTGTGCACGTGTGAGTGTGTGTCTGTGCGAGCGTGTGTGTGTGTGAAAGAGAGAGTGTATGTGTGTGTATCTGTGTGAGCGTGCTTGCGTGTGGGAGTGCATGTGAGTGTGCGTGTTGCGTTATATAATAGATGCGACTAAGTCTTCGGTGTCTTCGTAAGTTAGACCAAGCAGCCATTCAGTAACTCGCGATTTACATTCTCGCATAATAGTGGGATAAATGTTCAAAATTTTATTTACTTTGTTATACAGTGAGGGGGCAAAGAAGTAGAAGTGTCGCTTAGCAAGTTGCGTTTTACACAATTGTATTATGCAAACTTTATCTATTCTTCGTTTTTCTATATTAGGAATATAAGGGAGATCTGCGTGTTTACGAAGTAAAACCGTTAATAAGAAGAGCTTTCTTACTGTTAAAATTTTTAACTCATGGTATATCTAGCTGAGATGTAGCGTACCATATGGGCTTAAATGACATGATTTTTAATACACCCCGGTGAGCTCTTTCGAGAGTAAGGAGTTTGACTTTACCTGCACAGCCCCAGGCCGCGATACAATATCCTGCCACTGACTGTACCAACGCCAAAAATATAATTTTAAGTGTAGGGAAATCAAGAACCGAACGCAGCCTCTTGAAAAGATACATGAGTTTTCTAATTCTGCAGGTAGTTACTTTTACATGTTCCTTCCAAGAAAGATGATTGTCAATCCAGACTCCAAGATATTTGACTCTGGATTCACAAGCGATTTGCAAACAGTTACAGATGGTTTCTTTATCACAAGATGGTATATGGGAATAAAGGACAAAAGAGGGAGGAGGAAGAGAGACTGAGTTGGGTGAGAAAGTGAGACACTTGGTTTTGTCTACGTTTAGTGTAAGAAAATTTCGAGAAAGCCAGTGAGTTACTGTAGACAATGCTGCCTCAGCATGAGATTGAGTATCATTCCAATCTGCCCCATTTACAAGTAGAACAGTGTCGTCAGCGTACGTTATTATTTTGCAATTTCTTATAGCCAATTTGCAAAGGTCGTTTATGTATATTAAAAACAGGGTAGGTCCAAGGACACTACCCTGGGGCACCCCAAAGAGCAAGGGTTCACGTTCGCTTATGACACTACCCATCCTAACATACTGAAAGCGATCCTCAAAATAGCTTTTGAAGAGATTGTGGACAACGCCTCTAACGCCAATACACTCCAGCTTCCCGAGTAGGTTCGAAATAGGAACAGTGTCAAAAGCTTTTGAAAGGTCTAGAAATATAGCAGTCGATTTAAGGTTTTTATTTAGATTTATGGTAATAGAATCAGTCAAAGTTAAGACGGCATCTTCGGTGGATTTACCAGCCCTGAAGCCAAATTGATTATCAGCAAGAACGTTATTGCTATTTAAGTACTTTATTAGTCTAACATTGATTATTTTTTCTAATATTTTAGATAAAGTTGTAAGAATTGAAATAGGCCTATAGTTCCGAACACTGCCCCTATCACCACCCTTGTATATCGGTAAAACAAGACCAATCTTAAATGCATCAGGGAAAACACCCCCTAGAAGACATAAGTTAAAAACATGTACCAGTATAGGTACTAGAATAGGTCTAGCCAGTTTTATGATCGACGCTGGTATGTTATCCCACCCAGTAGCCAATGTGTTTTTAAGGCCAGCAATAATATTATCAACCTCAGCACAGTCAGTAGCAAGAACAGACATCGAGGTCAAAGGAGGAACCGGCACATCAAATTTAGGGTAAATAGTACCACAATTTGATGTTATTTTTGTAGCTAAATTTTTTCCTACGTTAGCAAAATAATTGTTGATGTTATTGACAACAAGGATCGGGTCTCCATCAGAATTTAACAGATCAGCACCAGATATGCGTTGTTTATCCATGTTTCCATATTTCTTTATAAGTTCCCACGTAGCCTTCGAATTCTTACTAACACGTTGAAATTCACCACGTTCGTATTCTTTTTTAACCTTTTTCAATAAATTATTGCAGAAGTTTTTGTAGCGGTTGTAAGTCACAGATGCCATGGTATTATCAGGGTCTTTTTTTTAATTTAAGGTAGAGTTTGTCGCGGTTTTTCATACAACGTAGAAGACCGGGAGTTATCCAAGGTTTAATTATTTTTTTCCGGCTAGGAATTACCAACGTACGTGTATAGTTTTTGACAATAAGCGAGATTGTGTTTACAAGTAATGACGCCGCTTCATTTGCATTTTGACAGGACAGTATAGGACCAAAATTGGTTACTTCCAATTCACTTATACAAGCATTAATGTCTAGTCGCTTGATGTTTTGTTTATTTTGCTTGGATTTAATACTAATGCTACAACTCAGGATTACAGGCAGATGGTCAGTAATACACGTGTCGAGAACTAGGGTGGTAGCTTTAGATTTCACCTTTAAAATTACGTGATCCAAACAGTTGTTATTTCGAGTAGGAAGGTTGTGAGCAGGCATAAGACCATGCAACATTAGTGTATTAAGATATCGATCGTGATCACTGGCGTTACTGTTGGGTCCTATATTAATGTTTATGTCACCAATGATCGCTATGTTTTGAAAGTGCTTTAAAGAATGTAGGGTATCATTTAAAGATTTTGTAAAATTGTCCGTGTGTCTAAAAGATGTTGATCGATATATAACTCTGTGTAAAAAGTATCGGGAATATGTCAATAAAAAGACCCGCGTAAAAGAGGTCGTTCTAATTTTTTTACTGCATGTTGGTAGCACTGTACTGATTAAGCGCGCAAAATTTGAGCGGGATCTGTCATTTAATTTGTTTTAAACTACACTTTTTGTTGGTGATAGTTTTGAGTCCTCGGCGATTTTTACAATGGAAAATATTGTTGAACAAAGAGTGTGCCTTAAATTTTGTGTTTCGAATGATATTTCTTGTGGTGAATCACTAAAAATGTTGCGAAATACCTACGGCGAATCGTGTATATCGAAAACAACGGCTTATGAATGGTATAAGGCTTTTAAAGAAGGCCGAGAAGTAGTAGTAGACTTGCCTCGTTCTGGTAGACCTTCAACCGCTACGACCAAAGAAAACATCGACAGAATCAAGAAGCTAGTGCTCGAAAATCGACGTATGAGTCTGAGAGAGTTGGCTAGTGAGGTGAACATATCTTTTAAGTCCACAACATTCTCATTGACAATTTAGGCATGAAACGCGTCGCCGCTCGACTAGTTCCAAAAGAGCTTAATTTTGTTCAAAAAGCGCAGCGAAAGCATGTCGCTGAAGACATGGTTTCCCGAGCTTCTACGTATCCGACCTTTATGAAACGTATAATAACTGGCGACGAGACATGGGTTTATGAGTACGACATGCAAACAAGCCAACAGTCTTCAGAATGGCGTCTCGAAAACGAGCCGAAACCAAAAAAACCGTGGCAAAGTCGCTCCAAAATCAAGATGATGCTGACAGTTTTTTTTGACTACCGTGGTGTAGTTCACTCCAAATTCCTTCCAGAGGGAGAAACAGTGAATAAAGAATATTATTTAGGCGTCATGAAGTGTTTGCGTGAGAGTATCCGCCGAAAACGTCCAGATTTGTGACAACACAACTCATGGATGCTGCACCATGATAATGCACCATCACACACAGTCATTATAGTGAAAGAGTTTTTAGCGAAAAATTCAACAAAAGTTCTCGACCAAGCACCGTATTCACCTGATATGGCTCCGTCTGACTTTTTTTTATTTCCCAAGTTAAAATTACCACTTCGAGGACAACGTTTTGAGTCGATAGAAGCCATAAAAGAAAATTCGCTGAATGAGCTAAAGGCCATACCGCAAATAGCCCATGAAAAATGTATGGAAGACTGGGTGAAGCGGTGGAGATGTTGTATTGCAAGCGATGGGGCCTACTTTGAAGGCGATAAAATAAATTTAGATTAATAATTTGTATTTTTTGTTTTATTGACAAATTCGCGATACTTAGTACACAGAACGTATAGCAATAAGAGCAAATTGATCTTTATGTTTTATAATGAGACAATTGGAATCAGCTAAATTCGGTATTTCTACAGAGCACTTTATATTTTGTCTTATATAAATTACCACGCCGTCATTTTGAAGACGATAGTCTGATTTGTGAAATGTATAGCCACTTAGTGTAGGGATAATAGGACATTAGCTCAAGCGGCACTCCGTTAAAACTATAATGTCCATCGGTTTCCGAATCCTGTGTAGCAGACTTTGAAATTGGTCAAAATTACGTGAAATACTTCTGATATTAAGCTGGATTATATTTAGGGAAGTTGCGCTATCACTTAAGTACAGATCACATTGTTCAGGACTACAAATACGAGATTCGGATACTTCTAGTTGTTCAATATCATTTACCACATCTAAGCTATCCATAAATAATTTGCAAATGCAGATAACCTATGAATTTTGTACGAATGGAGTATGAGTTTTTTATAGATAAATTGAGGCTGTATAGTTCTTGATACTAGAATAATCACACAAAATAAATAGTTAAGTCCGATGGTAACTTTGACCGCTTTGTGTTTATGTGTAGTAGTATGTGCATGAAGTGTAATGTGTTTGTCTTTTAAGTGCAAGTAGTAATGAGAATGTTTAGTGTAAA